AATTGAATGATCAGAGAGATCAAGCACTGATCAGGCTTTCCTAAGAAAAAAGAGCAGAAGCTATGGGAATAGTGGAAGGGTGTAGGTTTTGCAATACAAGATAAAGAATCAGAACTAATATGTAATTCAGTAAACAGACACTGTAAACCCAGCAAAAGAGAGGCCTTGTGCACTGGAACTTGGCTGGTAGCATTAGTACTCAGCTAAGTAGCAAAGAAAAATAGAAACAACTTTAGGGCACTGACAAACACATAATTTAGTTGTTCAAACTTTGGTTTTAGTGACGTGGTTCGACTTGAGAAACCCGAGTTGGAAGAACAAAGAATCAAGCTCATTGTGAGGATCAACACTGATAAAAACCAGCTAAAAGCTATTGAAGAGAAAATCCTGAGAATGCTATTTACATCTGAAGGAAATATTTTGGACAATGAAGAACTTATTGACACACTTCAGGATTCAAAGGCAAGTAAAATATTTCTAGTATTTATAGAAAGTGTGTAGTTTCAAAAGTTACAGGTCCTGCAAAGTCTTTTAAAGTAAGAATGGTGGCCACACCTGGGCTGCCAGGAGTGTACACAAGAGTGCGCCTGGCTGGCAGGATGCCCCACCAACCAAAGGAGGAGTAGATGAATTGAAGACAACTGCTCCTCTTATCTTGTCTACATTTTTTTAATAAAGCATATAATGCAGAAAACTAGGACAAGACATAAGTTGAAAGTAATAACACAATCATGTTTTCATTTTAATGTCACCCCCTTCAGGAAACCTTCCTGATATTCCCAGCTGGAATTAATCTCTTCCCCCTCAGAACATCTGTAGCACTTCTCTGAACCTCTATTACAGCACTTGCTTATCTTATGTCATAGTTACCTAAGTACATGACTTATCTCTTCTGTTAGGTTTTTAAATTCTATGTAGCAGATATCTGTGAAAAGTTCATTTTGATATTCCTTCTCCAAAGGCTAAGCATAGTGTCTGCATATAATTGGTACTCAATAAAAATGTGTTGATAATAAGATAAAGTTTTAAATTGAATGTATAATCCTGCACTGAGTTATTTCTCAGATTTAAACCATAATTTTAAAAGTATACTAGGACAACCTTCCAAGACTGACCAAGGAAGAAACAGAAAATCTAAACAGGCCAATTACTAGCAATTAAATTGAATTGGTAATCAAAAAACTACCCAAGGATTAAAGATTGCAGCATGAGAGGTGAGACAGAGGCTTCCTCCTAAAACTGCATATACTACAAAAATAAAATTAACACAACTAATCCTTAAAGAGCAACAGGAAAGAGGACTGCGCCAGACTGCATACACCTGGAGAAAAGAGCAGACCTCACAGAGCAGGGTAACGTACCAAAGCTGTGGCCCAGTGAGATCCAAGCCCTTCTGCCACCGCAGCTCACCAGTGGGAGGAAAAGAAACAGAGTGGGGAGGGAGTGGAGGCCTGGGACTGCTGAATACCTAACTCCGGAGATCTGCTCTGGGAACATAAACCTACATTTCATGGTGCTTTCATGATACTCTTGTGATTAGAGGATTGGAAAGCTAAGACAGTCAGAATTCATGAAGAGACTGAGATTCCAGTCACTTGTGGAAAGCAGGGATCCATATCCACCTGCTCTGGGACAAAAGAAAGGCAGGTAGTCTGAGAGACTTCCTAACAAGGAAGCCCTTAGAAAGAGGGCTGCTAAAGGGGCAAGGATTGCACAGAGCTTACTGCTCAGGAGAAAGGACAGGTAGACAAAATTGTCCAGGTACACTGTTCCCAGCAGGTTGGGAGCTTTCATGATTTCCAGGTGCTCCAGTTCCCTGGCTGGCTACACAGCTCCAAGGACGCCCTCCATGATACACAGCCGACTACACCTTTCTCACAGCCAGCCCCACCTGGCTCACAAATCAGCAAACCCTACCCTCATGTTAGGCCAGCCAGAGGGAAGATCTGTCTACAGGAACTAAAAATGCAAAGCACAGAAGCTTATACCTATGTGCTCGGCCCACTGGTTCAAGGGCCCGGAACCAGTAAATAGCTCTTCCCTCTCCCCAGGCACCAATACCACTCCCCTGCGACCCCTGACATTGCCTTGGGGCTGAGCAACTCCAGAGAGTAGAGCTTCTGGACACTAGAGGGCGCCATATACAAATATGAAATGCCAAAGGAACCTGGTTCAGAGTAAAATTAATATAATTTCTGAGAAAGATGACATGGACCTCATGACTCTTCCTGAAAGGGAGTTCAAAATAAAAATCATTAACATGCTCATGGAGGTATGGAAAGATATTCAAGAACTTGGGAATGAATTCCAATTGGAGATCCAATCACTGAAGAGTACGATGGAGGGTATTAAAAGTAGGTTGAATACAGAGGAGGAAACAATAAATTAAATAGAAACTAGAGAAGAGGAATACAAAGAAGCTGAGGCACAGAGAAAAAAGGATCTCTAAGAATGAAAGAATATTGAGAGAACTGTGTGACCAATCCAAACAGAACAATATTCACATTATTGCACTTAATGCAATGAAGCAGAAGGGCCTGGAACCAAGATTACTTTATCCAGCAAGATTATCATTTAAATTTGAAGGAGGGATTAAACAATTTCCAGATAAGCAAAATCTGAGAGAATTTACCTCCCACAAACCATCTCTACAGTGCATTTTCGAGGAGCTGCTATATATGGAAGTGTTCCTAAGGTTTAATAGCTGTCACCATAGGTAATAAAACCACAGTAAAGAAAGTAGAACAGCTCATTACTAGGCAAATGCAAAATTAAATTAACTGACCCCAAAGTCAATCAAGGAATAGACAAGGAGTACAGAATATGATACCTAATATATAAAGAATGGAGGAGGAAGAAAAAGGAAGAGAAAAAGAAAAGAACTGTTAGATTGTGTTTGTAATAGCATATTAAGTGAGTTAAGTTAGACTCTTAGATAGTAAGGAAGTTAAACTTGAATCTTTGGTAACCACAAATCTAAAGTGTGCAATGGCAATAAGTACATACCTATCAATAATCACCTTAGTGTAAATGGTCTGAATGCACCAATCAGAAGACATAGAGTCACTGAATGGATAAAAAAAACAAGACCCATTTATTTTCTGCCTACAGGAGACTCACTTTAAACCCAAAGACATACATGAATAAAAGTGAACAGATGGAAAAAGATATTTTATGCAACTAATAGAAAAAAAGCAGGAGTTGCAGTACTTGTACCAGACAAAATAGACTTCAAAACAAAGAAAGTCACAAGACACAAAGAAGGACATTACATAATGATAAAGGGGTCAATCCAACAAGAAGATATAACCATTATAAATATCTATGCTCCCAACTCAGGAGCACCTACATATGTGAAACAAATACTAACTGAATTAAAAGGGAAAATAGAATGCAATGCATTCATTCTAGGAGACTTCAACACTCCACTCACTCTGAAGGACAGATCAAACAGACAGAAAATAAGTAAGGAGACAGAGGTATTGAACAGCACATTAGAACAGATAGACCTAACACACATCTACATAACTCTACACCCAAAAGCAGAATACACATTCTTTTCAAGTGCACATAGAACATTTTCAAGAATAGATCATATACAAGGCCACAAACAGAGCCTCAGTAAATTCAAAAAGATTGAAATTGTACCAAGCAGTTTCTCAGACCACAAAGGTATGAAACTAGAAATAAATTACACAAAGAAAATGAAAAAGCCCACAAACACATGGAGGCTTCACAACATGCTCCTAAATAACAAAAGGATCAATGACCAAATAAAAACAGAGATCAAGCAATATATGGAGACAAATGACAAAAATAATTCAACACCACAAAATCTGTGGGACGCAGCCAAGGCCATGCTGAGAGGAAAGTATATTGCAATGCAGGCCTACCTCAGGGAAGAACAATCCCAAATGAGCCATCTAAACTCACAATTAATGAAACTAGAAAAGGAAGAACAAATGAGGCCCATAGTCAGTAGAAGGAGGGACATAATAAAGATTACAGCAAAAATAAATAAAATCAAGAAGAATAAAACAATCGAAAGAATCAATGGAAGCAAGAGGTGGTTCTTTGAGAAAATTTTAAAAATAGATAAACCTCTAGCCAGACTTATCAAGAAAAATACAGATTCTACACACATAAACAGAATCAGAAATGAGAAAGGAAAAATCACTATGGACACCACAGAAATACAAAAAATTATTAGAGAATACTATGAACAATTATATGCTAACAAACTGCATAACCTAGAATAAATGGACAACTTTCTAGAAAAATACAACCTTCCAAGGCTGACCAAGGAAGAAACAGAAAATCTGAACAGACCAATTACCAGCAACAAACTTGAACTGGTAATCAAAAAACTACCTAAGAACAAAACCTCTGGACCAGATGGCTTCACTGATGAATTTTGTCAAACATTTACTGAAGACTTAATACCCATCCTCCATAAAGTTTTCCAAAGATTAGAAGAAGAGGGAATACTTCCAAACTCATTCTATGAAGCCAGCATCACTCTAATACCAAAACCAGGCAAAGAACCACAAAAAAGAAAATTACAGACCAATATCCCTGATGAACTTAGATGCAAAAATACTCAACAAAATATTACAAACTGAATTCAAAAATACATCAAAAACAGCCTCCATCATGATCAAGTAGGATTTATTCCAGGGATGTAAGGGTGGTACAACATTTGAAAATACATCAACATCATACACCACATCAACAAAAAGAACAAAAACCACATAGATGCTGAAAAAGCATTTGACAAAATTCAACATCCATTCATGATAAAAACTCTCAACAAAATGGGTATAGAGGGCAAGTACCTCAACATAATAACATATATGACAAATCCACATGCAACATCATACTTAACAGGGAGAAGCTGAAAGCTTTTCCTTTAAGATTGGGAACAAGACAAGGATGCCCACTTTCCCCACTTCTATTCAACATAGTTCTGGAGGTCCTCCCCATGGCACTCAGACAACACAAAGAAATAAAAGGCATCCAGATTGGCAAGGAAGAAGTTAAACTGTCCCTCTTTGCAGGTGACATGATATTGTACATAAAAAAAAACCCTAAAGAATCCACTCCAAAACTACTAGATCTAATATCTGAATTCAGCAAAGATGCAGGATAGGAAATTAATACACAGTAATCTGTGGCATTCCTATACACTAACAATGAACTAGCAGAGAGAGAAATCAGGAAAACAATTCCATTCACAATTGCATCAAAAAGAATAAAATACCTAGGAATAAACCTAACCAAGGAAGTGAAAGACCTATACCCTGGAAACTACAAGACACTCATGAAAGAAATTAAAGAAGATACCAATAAATAGAAACACATCCCATGTTCTTTGATAGGAAGAATTAATATTGTCAAAATGGCCATCCTGCCTAAAGCGATCTATAGATTCAATGCCATTCCTATCAAAATACCAACAGCAA